TTTGAATTTTCCCTTTCCCCTCCCCCACCCCCCCACAAATCCTTTTCCAGAATTTTCCATCTTTTCTCTCAGAAAAAAAAATTTTATCTACAAGATCCCCTCCCCCCTCCCCATTTTTTTTTTAATTTTCCATAAAAATTATTGCGGATTTTCCCGATTTTTGTCTTTTTTTTTGTCATTTTTTTTGTATTTTTTTATCATTTTTTTTGTCATTTTTTTGTCATTTTTTGTCATTTTTTGGTCATTTTTTTATCCTTTTTTTTGTCATTTTTTTGTCATTTTTTTATCATTTTTTTGTCATTTTCCCCCCCCTCTTTCCTTGCACTTTACACCAGGAATTCCTCATCCCACGGAATTCCAGAGGGACGGGGGAAAAAAAAAAAACCACGGAAAAAAAACTGGGTCCAAACATTCCGATTTTTTTTTTCATTTTTTTTTCCTTTTTTTTTCATTTTTTTCCTGATTTTTTTTGGAAAAAAAAACCAAAAAAAAACCCACCCAAACTTGACAAATTCCATTTTTTTTGTTGCTAGAAAAAGCTGATTGTACTCACGAGCCTAAAGGGAAAAAAGGGGGGAAAAAAACCCCAAAAAATAAAAAAATTTTGGGAATTCCAGGGCGGATTTAAACCAAAAAATAAAAAAAAATTTGGGATTTTTCCCGTAGAATTCCGGATTTTTTCCAGGTTTTTTTTTTTTCTCATTTTTGGGTTTTTTTGTCCTTTTTTTTGTTGTTTTTTTTTACTCCGTGCCCCGCGTCAGATCCAGCTGAGACTGAGCTTCCTCTTCCTCTTCCTCTTCCTCTTCCTCCTTTCCTGGCGTTTTCCTGGGAATTCTGGGAGCCGGGAATGGGAAATTATTTTTTATGAAATAAAAAAATGTGTTTGGGATGGGCCTGGAGGTGTTGGGGAAATGGGGAAAATGGGGAAAAATGGGGGGAAATGGGGAAAAATGGGGAAAAATGGGGAAAAATGGGAATAAAAGGTTGAGGAAATGGGGAAAAATGGGGAAAATGGAGAAAAAATGGGGAAAAATGGGGGAAAAATGGGGGGAAAATGGGGAAAAAAGGGGGGAAATGGGGAAAAATGGGAAAAATGGGAATAAAAGGTTGAGGAAAAATGGGAAAAATGGGGAAAAAAGGTTGAAGAAAATGGGGAAAAATGGGGAAAAATGGGAAAAAATGGGGAAAAATGGGAAAAATGGGGG